AAGAAGAACGGTCACCAGGATTGGAAGAAGTCTCATTAACAACCTGCATTATGCAGATGACACAACCTTGCTTAATGAAAGTGAAGAGAATTTGAAACACTAACTGATGAAGATCAAGGACTACAGCCTTCAATATGGATTACACCTCAACGTAAAGAAAGCAAAAATCCTCACAACTAGACCAATAAGCAACATCATGATAAATAAAGATTGAAGTTGTAAAGGATTTTATTTTACTTGGATCTACAATCAACACCCATGGAAGCAGCAGTCAAGAAATCAAAGAGATATTGCATTGGGCAAATCTGCTGCATAAGACCTTTTTAAAATGTTTAAGAGCAAAGATGTCACTTTAAGGACTAAGGTTCTCCCAACCAAAGCCATGGGGTTTTCAATCACCTCATATGCATGCAAAAGCTGGATAATGAATAAGGAAGACCGAAGAAAAATTGAGGCCTTTGAATTATGGTGTTGGCGAAGAATATTAAGTATACCATGAACTGCTAGAAAAATGAACTAATCTGTCTTGAAAGAAGTACAACAAATGTCATGGGTTGAATTGTGTCCCCCCAAAATATCTGTCAACTTGGCTGGGTCATGATTCCTAGTATTGTATGATTGTGTACCATTTTGTAATCTGATGTGATTTCTTTATGTGTTGTAAATTCTATCACTGTGATGTAATAAGATGGATTAGCGGCAGTTATACTGATGAGGTCTACAAGATTAGATAGTGTCTTAAGCCAATCTCTTTTGAGATATAAAAGAGAAAAGCAAGCAGAGAGACGTGGGAAACTCATGCTGCCAAGAAAGGAGTGCTAGGAACAGAGCGCATCCTTGGGATCTGAGGTTCCTGCCCTGAGATGCTCCAGACCTAGGGAACACTGACGCATCACAAGGAACTTCCTCCAGAGCCAACAAAAAAAGAAAGCCCTGGAGCTGATGCTTTGAATTTGGAATCATAGCCTACTGGACTGTGAGAAAATAAGCTTCAACTTGTGGTATTTCTGTTACAGCAGCACTAGATGACTAAGACAATGAGAATGCTCCTTTCAGGCAATGATGGTAAGACTTCATCTCACATACTCTGGACATTGTATCAGGAGGGACCATTCCCTGGAGAAGGACATCATGCTTGGTAAAGGAGAGGATCAGTGAAAGAAAGGAAGACCCTCAAAAAGATGGACTGACACAGTGCCTGCAACAATGGGCTCAAGCATAACAATGATTCTGAGGATGGTGCAGGACCGGGCAGTGTTTCATTCTGTTGTACAATAATCTCGATTGCATCTAACAACAACAACAACAGGCTGGGAAAAAATTTTGACGATGACATGTCTGACAAGGGACTTATCTCTAAAGTCTATAGAAAATTTCAAGACCTCAACAGCAAAAAGACAAAAACCCAATTGAAAAATGGGCAACAGACATCAACAAACAATTCACCAAAGAAATCATCAAGATGGCCAACAAAATACATGAAGAAATGCTCACAGTCTTTAGCCATTAGATATGTGGAAATCAAAACTACAATGAGATACCATTTTACCCTAACAACAATGGCACTGATCAAAACAAACAAAAAAAGCGTATGCTGGCAAGGCTGTGTGTAGACTGGAACTGCAGTTTGGAATGTAAAATGGTACAACCTCTGAGGAAAACGGTATGGCACTTCCTTAAAAAACTAGAAATAGAAATACCGATATGATTCAGCAATTCTACTTCTAGATATATATCCTAGAGACACAGAGCCATGACAAGAATAAATATATGCACACCCATGTTCACTGCAGCATTATTCACAATAGCAAAAAGATGCAAACAACATAAAGTGCCCATCAACAGATAAATGGATTGACAAAGTATGGTTCATACACACAATGGAATACTATGCAACATTAAAGAACAGTGAGGAATCTGCAAAACATCTCACAACATGGATGAATTTGGAAGGCTTTATACTGAGTGAAATAAGTTAATCACAAAAGGACAAGTATTATATGAGATTTATTAAAAAATGTCAAGAAAATGTTTACACCCAGAAAGAAATATTCTTTGATGGTTACCAGGATGGGAGGCAGAGGGTGATAAAATCACTAGCTAGATAGCAGACACGTGTTACTTTGGTGAAGGCAAAGACAATACACAAGATGGGCAAAGTTTGCACAACATGAGCAAGGCAAAGAAAGACACTGAGACATACACAAAAGTAAAAGAAAACAGTAAATAATATCACATATACAATCTTGCAACAACAGTAAAAATGATAATTTACGATTGCATACATAAGTAGATATGTAAGCTGAATAGATGGGGAAAGCATATGGGAGTACCCCCTTGTGCATATATAGGTTTGGCAGTGACTATTTCTACATATGTGTTGCAAATATATCCATATATATAATAGAACACACAGGAGGCATAGTTATGAAAACTTCTAAGCCATAACCAAACTGAGGGGACTGAGTTACTGGGCTTTAGGGCTAGGGAACATTGTCTCAGGGGACATCTAGCTCAATTGGCATAACATAATCCATAAAGGCAATGTTCTACATCCTATTTTGGTGAGTGATGACTAGGGTCTTAAAGCTTGTGAGAGGCTATTTAAGATACAACTACTGGTCTCTTCCCATGTGGAGCAAGGAAGAGTGAAGAAAACCAAAGACTCAAGGAAACAACTAGTCCAAAGGACTAAAGGTCCACATGAACCACTGCCTCCTCTTGTCTGAGACCAGAAGAACTAAATGGTGCCAGGCTACCACTAAAGACTAACCTCTTTTAGAATATTAATTAGAATTTGTAAATGAAAGAGTAGCAAAGAAAAATTTCTAATTCCTTATTAGATAATTAGAACACACTAGTTCATTTGACTCCAACAATTGGGTAATTCTTTTCCTTTCAGCTAAAACTGCTAAGGTCAAGTCAATAGGCTCCCTTCCTTAGACTATTCAACTGCTTGAGTTTCGAGGTTTGCTTTGACACTTTGGTTTCAAAAGTTTCAAAAATTGTATTTTAATAGCAAAAATAGATGAATCTAATGAAGTAGCTTGATAAATTTCTTTAACAAATTAATAACATCAAGACATAAAGATGATGAATGTAAACTAAATCACTTCTGGAAAAAAATAGCAGAGAGATTTCTCCGTCATATGAAATGTCATGGATCAGGTATTTCTTCAAATGCACAAATTTTAAATATTGAAATAACATTATAATTTATAAAATTAATAGATTTAAGGAAAAAATTCACGAAATGATGCTATATATGTTAAGACATTTAATAAAATTCAATCTACTTATTGATAAAATATGAAGAGTTGGATCTTCCATAACATAATGTAATATCTCAGTCCAAAAGCCTTTATCATCTTTAATGGGAAAACCCTAGAATCCTATCATTAAAGTGACAATCAAGAAAGGATGGCTACTATTATGTAAACTGTTCTGAGTATATTATATTAAACAATACAATTATATTAAAATTTTGAAATAAATGGTTAAAATTAATGTTATTTAAATATGAGTTATGTTAGAAATATCCAAGAATATCAATCAGAAGCTACTATAAAAATAAGAAAATTCAATAAGGAAGATGGGAACAACATTACAAATAGGAAATATATATAAAACCAAAACCAAACCTGATGCCGTGAAGTCCAACTCATAGCAACCCTATATGACAGAGTAGAACTGCCCCATAAGGTTTCCAAGGAGCACCTGGTGGATTAGAACTCCCGACCTTTTCGTTAGCAGCAGAGGTTTTTAACCACTACACCACCAGGGTTTCCATAAATTATATATACGTATTATAAATATGTGTGTGCTTGTGTGTTCATGTGTCTCTGTATGTGTGTACGTCTGAAGACAGGACTGAATAAAAGTACCTCATTTACCGTAGCAAAAAAAAATTATACAGTATTTTAGATGAAAAAACTTAAGAAGAAATGTAGAATATCATGTATATAAAACTAAAAGAAAACTTGAACAAATAGACTAACATGGGAATATTTTGATGGGATTCTGATAACAGCTGTACTGGAAACTAAAGGGACCAGAAGAGAAATTTTTCATTGGCTCTTGGTATTGGTATTTGTACCTTGTAAGGGAGAGAAAGAAGGCACTTTACAGGTAGGATTTGGAAACAAGGTTGAAGAAGGAATAACTGAAACTGGCAGAAGAAATATTCTACCAAGCAAGCAAAAGCAGGATACTTATAATGTTAATTTTAATAGGGATATTCTCATTTATACTCTCAATTTTCAGAGAACTTTTTTGTGTGGTTTTTCGGGGGGGGCACTTCTTAAATTTCTTAAATTTTAATTATATTTTGAATTTAATTTTAATTATATTGTTATTAAACTTAACAAAACTGATCTAATAGTCTCATTTGTTAACCTTAACCATTTGTTAAGATTTGATAGTCATTGGGTCAGACACTATAAACTGTGTAACAGCCACCTTCCTTCCTCTTCCCTGCTAACAAACCCATCATTTTGTTTAGTACCCCATGAACTTCAAGACAAAATTGAACCCTCCCCAGGTACAGAGGTGAGTCATGATTAGTAAGAACAATTACTGGCAAATCTATACCTATTGCCCATAGTTGGTTTGGGAATATGCCTATAAAACATTTCTGAACACTGAGCTAAGTCACGAAGTCTGTAATGGTCTGCCAGGAATCCTTGATGAGGTCTTGCATTACCAACCAAGGACCAACCTGGAAGTGACTTGCCGCTGACCTTCTCATTTTGAAATACTCAATACTTTCAATATTTAAGCCATTCTGGGTTGGGTTTTTGATTACATGCTGCTGTAAAATATTATAAGTGATATATATTTAATATTTAATTTGTCTAGCTTTCAGTATGTTTATATTATTATTACCAGTATAAATATGAAAAAAATGAATCAGAGAGTTTGGATATATTTCTCAAGGTTATAGAACTACAAAGTAGAGTTAGGATACTATCTCCCATTATTTCAGAAGGCACTCTACTCACCATCACTGACCCCCACACTGGGTACCAAGTGTATACTGAAATGGGATTTGGTACACTAAATGGCAAAGAGACACACATCATTATTATTCCCAAGCTGAGGTTCATCAAGGCAATCAGGATCTGGACAACCTAGAAATGATGACAAAAGTAAAAGCCAATTATCCACCACAGAAATGGTGCCCAAGCCACCCTTTCTCCAATCACTGAGTTACCCTCCTTCTCAATCTTTTGAAATAGTCAAATGTGGTTCTTGATATTCTCATGTCAATTTTTTTCCCATATAAACCAAAAAAAAAAAAAAAAAACAAACAAACCCATTGCCATCAAGTTAAGCATATAGGACAAGGTAGAACTGCCCTATAGGATTTCCAAAGAGGCTGGTGGATTCGAACTGCCAACACTTTGGTTAGCACCGAGCTCTTAAACACTGCACCACCAGGGCATAACTGTGAATATAGCAACTTACAAAAATGATCTCTTGGGGATATCTATCTTTGCCCCAGGTATTTTAAACTAAAAAAAGAGACTGTTCCAGGACCTGCTCAGACACTGTATTGGTACACAGGATGTTACTCCTATGACAACTGTTGCTGTCCTTTGTCACATGCCCAGACAGGGGAGACACAGGAGTTAGAAGAAAGTCTTCTAGCAAGGATAAGTGACTTAAGGAAGGAGAGTTCATATAGAGAAGTAGAGAAAAGACCAAATATGATATTTTCTTGGGGTCTGGGACCTGAGGCCATGGCTGTGAAGACAGAGGTCAAAACTTGGGGACATTTGAGTACAATTGTCTCATGGCACTAAAAAGGATTCAAAGTGTCCACAACGACTTTGTCCCAGTGCTTGGAAGCCAGAGCTACAGATATACTTTTATATTCACTGTCCTTCCACTAGCATTAACCTTTGTTTCTTTACACCCTTCGTTCCTGTTAGGAAAATCCACCGAAGACTCCAGAGAGGAAATGCAGAGAGATTATAAGAGTTTTCATCATCCACAGAGCAGGACTGGCTGAGAAAATGACCTAGAGAGAGATACTAACAATAGGCCGACATCAGGTCTCAGGAAGGCCTGTGGAGGGGACACCAGCTAGTCCACAGACAGCCTTTTCTTTCGCTGTTTTTCCATGTGGAAGTTAAATATATTTATCATTGACGAATGCATGGATTAGAAGCATGATATGAGAGAATATTTTGCCTTTTTTTTCAATTGATAGGGCCTGAACATCAAATACTACTGTCCTAAAGATCAGCTGACGTGATATGAGGCTTGTAGGAGAGAGTGTTTGTCATTAGGTCTGATCAGTTTTGAGTTTACAATATCTTTAGTCTTCTCCCAGATCTGCACCTGACTTACCCCAAGGACCTTGGGTTCCCCTTTCAAGAATTTCTCTGGCATCCCTTTCCACAGGTATGAGTGTAGAGTAGCAGGCTTTCCCATCTGGGGTACACCAGGCCCAGCCCCTGGTGTGATCTGTTGCGGTTCCTGCAGGGTTGTCATGGCAGCAGAAAAGGTGCTACAGTAAGAAACATAATTCCGAATGAGGTCCAGGAAATGACAGGAGAGGAGCACTTTGAGGCCGGCTCCTCCATAAGACAATCTCTGGTCTGCACTCCTTCACTAAATTAAACAGCTGTTAGGACATTTCACAACATGTTAAAGAGGGAATTCATTTCCAGCATCCCTGATTTGCTCTTGTGTTGGGGAGGGAGGGCATCTGTGAGAGCATGATATTCATTTTGCCGTGTGGGCAGTGGTTGAATCTTTCTATCTTTTGCGGATTGTTTCAAAGATTATTCAGAACCGTCAGGGTTGTCATCTGCTTCTTGCTTTCATGGAATAAGCTAAACACAAGACTAGGCAAAGCCAGACCAGGGAGCTCTCCTTTTTCTCTGGCAGTCGCTGCTCTGATGAAAAGCCAGTTAGTAAAGTAGGTAATATATTAAAAGCTGTTGAGTAGATGTATTCAGACTGAACTGTACATTTGACTCAAAGGGCCAAGTAGAATAACCCCATAGGGTTTCCAACACTATAAATCTTTAAGGAAGCTGAATGCCACATCTTTCTCCCATGGAGCAGCTTGTGGGTTCAAATCGTCAACCTTTCGGTTAGCAGCCGAATGCTTAACCACTGTGTGCCCAGGGCTCCTGACAATAGTGTTACCCTCATTAATCCTCCAATGGCATTTCACCACTCTTAGCATAAAGTTAAAATCTTTAGGGTGGTTGAGAAAAGAAACTCTGCTACTTATCCCACATCTATTACCCTAAACTTACCTTGACTCTCTCCTTTTTATTTGCAAAGCCCAAATAGACTTGACTCATTTCAATTCTTCCAAACAAGCAATCTCTTTCTTATCTTGATGCATTTGCACTGGTTGAACCTATTGCTAGGAATGTTCTACCCCTTCCATGGTTGCCCTGCAACAAAAGCTCACCTCAGCATCTGGTCCTTCTCATTCACTGATATTATTACACACACTCTGCCTTTTCTCAGACACAACTCCCCACCTCCTCGACTTCTCATAAATGGCTTACTCAATCTACGATGTTGACAGTGGTTTAAGCAAACTGTTACTTCTCTCTTAGACCCAGAAACCAAAATTGTTGTACATGAACTTATTTCTCTCTAATGTAAAGGAAACACTATGTTCTTATCTCAGACATACGCTCAGACCAAAGATTTAGGAATTGTAGGGTCTGTTTTATCAAATACCCCTAGTGGTTTTTTTCTATATCTGGTGTCTCTCCAGTAAGACTTTGAACTTCCCCCAGGACAGAGATATTATATCCAAATAATGCTTCCAAGTAGCTCTATGGTCTTGCTATATTTCTGGGGTAATATCGGTCAGATTCTCATCACTCAGTGCTAGTGCTCTGTCTACCCAAGGATCTCTGACCCTGAGTTGATATAACTGCCTAGGAAACACTAAAAGGCAGTCCTACTCTGTCATATAGTGTCTCTATAAGTCAGAACCAACTGAACAGAACACAAAAACAACAACCTTTATACCACAACACTTATGGGGTCTCCATGAATCAGGGTGACTTGACAGCAGTTAACAATAACAACAAACTCATCACACCACAGAAATCGATATGATAATTACCTAGTCAGGTAAATTCTGAAAGGACCAAAGTTTGTGTTTACTCTTCAGGGCTCAACTTCTCTATATTCAACTACCAAGGACGCGAAAACAGTACAGAATATTGAATGGATATAAGGGACATTTCTTCCAGATAAGGAAATAATCTGGATACTAGTCTTGTCACATTTTCTGTGACAGCTATCAGGCTATTCACAACTAGTGTCTTTTTCTCTCAGAACAGAGGTCGGAAAACTAAAAAAATCCCTCACTCTTCTTCTAATGGTTCCAAAATACTTGCGGATCACCACTACCACCAATCTTTTGCTTCTTTATTTTTATATCATTGTCTCCCTCATTGGTCACAATTGCCAAAGATTCATCATGAGGAGGATTGTCCAAAAGTCCAGCTTCTCCTTCTATGGAAAATTTGTAAAATAAAGGTCCATATGTAAGCTTGAATCTCCATGGTTTTTGGACATTGATGATGTGATATATAAACAGTGACCAGGGGCACTTTTTCCTGGGGTAGGAAAAGGCCCAGACAGGAATCAAGAAGTCTGGATTCCCTGATAACAAAACCAGGCAAAGACACCACCAAAAAAAAAAAAAGAAAATTATAGACCAATATCTCTCATGAATATAGATGCAGAAATTCTCAACAAAATTCTAGCCAATAGAATTCAGCATCATATCAAAAAAATAATACACCATGACCAGGTAGAATTCATACCAGGTATGCAAGGATGGTTCATCATTAGAAAATCAATCAACTTAATCCAGCACATAAATAAAATAAAGGAAAAGCAACACATGATCACCTTAAACAATGCAGAAAAGGCATTCAACAAAGTCTAACACCCATTCCTGATAAAGACTCTCAATAAAATAGGTATAGAAGGGAAATTCCTCAACATATAAAGGGCATATATGCAAAACCAACAGCCAATATCATTATAAATGGAGAGAAGCTGAAAACATTCTCCTTGAGAACAGGAACAAGACAAGGATGCCCTTTATCACCACTCCTATTTAACATTGTGCTGGGAGTCCTAGCTAGAGCAATAAGGCAAGAAAAACACATTAAGGGCATCCGAGCTGGTAATGAGGAAGTAAAAATGTCCCTATTTGCAGATAATATGATACTATATATGGAAAACCCAAAAGACTCCACGAAAAACTACTGAGGCTAATAGATTCAGCAGAGTAGCAGGATACAAGACAAACACACAAAAATCAGTTGGATTCCTATACACCAACAGACAACGATGAAAAGGAAATCAGGAAAGCAATACCATTTATAATAGCCCATAAAAAAAATAAAATACTTAGGAATAAATCTAACCAGGGATGTAAAAGAATTATACAAAGAAAACTACAAAACACTACTGCAAGAAACCAAAAGAAATCCACATAAATGGAAAAACATACCGTGCTCAAGGAAAGGTAGACTCAGCATTGTGAAAATGACAATTCTACCCAAAGCAATTTTCAAATACTATGCAATCCTGATCCAAATACCAAAAACATTCTTTAAAGAGATTGAAAAAATAATCATTAACTTTATATGGAAAGGGGAGAGGCCTTGGATAAGTAAAGCATTATTGAAGAAGAAGAAAATAGGAAGACTCACACTGCCTGACCTCAGAACCTACTATACAGCTACGGTAGTCAAAACAGCCTGGTACTGGTACAATAACAGATTCATTGACCAATGGAACAGAATTGAGAACCCAGAAGTAAATCCATCCACCTATGGTCACTTGATCTTCGACAAGGGCCCAAAGTCCATCAAATGGGGAACAGACAGTCTTTTTAACAAATGATGCCGGCAAAATTGGATGTCCATTTGCAAAAAATGAAACAAGACCCATACCTCACACCATACACAAAGTAATTCAAAATGGATCAAAGACTGAAGTCTAAAACCAAAAGCTATAAAAATCATAGACGAAAAAATAGGATCAACACTAGAGACCCTAACAGACGGCATTAACAGAATACAAAGCATAACTAATAACATACAAACTCCAGAAGATAACTGGGATCTTCTAAAAATTAAACACTTATGCTCATTAAAAGACTTCACCAAAAGAGAACCTACAGACTGGGAAAAAAATTTTGGCTATTACAAAGCCGACAAAGGTCTAATCTCTAAAATCTACACTAAAATCCAACCCATCTACCACAAAAAGACAAACAATCCAATTAAAAAATGGGCAAAGGAAATGAACAGACATTTCACCAAAGAAGACATTCAAGCAGCTAACACACATGAGGAAATGATTGCGATCACTAGCCATCGGGGAAATTCAAAATAAAGCCACAATGAGATACCGTCTCAACCCGCATTACTGGCACGAATCAAAAAAACAGAAAATAACAAATGCTAGAGAGGCTGCAGGGAGATTGGAACTCATGCACTGCTGGTGGGAATGCAAAATGGTACAACCATTATGGAAAACAATATGGTGTTTTCTTAGAAAGCTAGAAATAGAAATACCATTTGATCCAGCAATCCCACTCCTAGGAGTGTATCCAAGAGAAATAAGAGCCATCAAACGAATAGACATACGCACACCCATGTTCACTGCAGCATTGTTCACAATAACAACAAGATGGAAACAACCTAGACGCCTATCAACAGATGAATGGATAAACAAACTATGGTACATACCCACAATGGAATACTACGCAATGGTAAAGAACAATGATGAACCTGCAAAGCATCTCACAACATGGACGAATCAGTACAGCATTATGCTGAGTGAAATAAGTCAATTACAAGAGAACAAATATTGTATGAGACCACTACTATAAAAACTCATGAAAAGGTTTACACACAAAAAGAAACAATCTTTGATGGTTATGAGAGAGGGGAGGGGTGGAGGTGGAAAAACACTAAATAAACAATAGATAAGTGGTAACTATGGAGAAAGGTAAGATAGTATACAATCCTGCGGAAGCCAGCACAACTTGTTCAGGGTAAGGTCATGGAAGCTCCATGGAAAAATCCAAACTCCCTTAGGGACTGAATTGCTGGGTTGAAGGCTGTGGGGACCATGCTCTCAAGGAACATCTAGCTCAATTGGCATAACATAGTTTATAAAGAAAATGTTCTACATTCTACTTTGGTGAGTAGCGTCTAGGGTCTTAAAAGTCTATGAGCGGCCATCTAAGATACTCTGCTGGTCTCACCCCTTAAGGAGCAAGGGAGAAGGAAGAAAATTAAAGACACAAGGGAAAGATTAGTCCAAAAGACTAATAGATCACAACTATTATGGCCTCCAGCAGTCTGAGTCCAGTACAACTAGATGGTGCCCAGCTACCACCTCTGACTGCTTTTACAGGGATCACAATAGAGGGTCCCGGACAAAGCTGGAGAAAAATGTAGAACAAAAGTCTAACTAAAAAAAAAAAGACCAGACTTACTGGCCTGATAGAAACTGGAGAAACCCCGAGAGTATGGCTCCTGGACAGCCTATTAGCCCAGTAATGAAGTCACTCCCAAGGTTCACCCTTCAGCCAAAGATTAGGTAGACCCATAGGACAAAACAAGACTAAAGGGGCACACCAGCCCAGTGGCAAGGACTAGAAGGCAGGAGGGGACAGGAAAGCTGGTAATAGGGAACCCAAGGTCTAGAAGGGAGAGTACTTACATATCATGAGGTTGTTAACAAATGCCATAAAACAATATGTGCTAACTATTTAATGAGAAGGTAGTTTGTTCTGTAAACCTTTATCTAAAGTTCAATAAAAAAGAATAATAATAAAATAAATAAAAATAAAAGAAGTCTGGGTTCCACTCCTAGCACTTTTATTGACTTGTGTGATTTTTGGCAAGTCATTTCCCTTCTTTTAGTTTCGTTTACCTCATCTAAGAAAAGAATGGGTTGAGCATAACTACCTCCACATTTCTTCCTGATCTCAGGAATGCTAAGAATCTACAAGATCTCTTTCATTAGCAGACTTCTTAATGAGCAGCTTCAGATTAGTGTTGGGTGTCCAGTGTGTGGCGCCAGAGACTGTTGGGGAAATAAGTTAGGCCACCGCTCTACCTCAGGGACCAGTCAAAATGTGTAAGACTGCGGACTCTGTCTTTGCCCACACCACATCCCCAAATTCTGCATGTGGCAGATTTTCTTATAAATGTGGAAATATAAAATAAAATAGCAAAGAATAAAGATCATGGAAGGGGTATGAAATAATTAGTTAAAAGTTTAAATACTGCTTTCAGCTTTCTGATAAGCTAGGAACCTAGAGGAAAATAAAAAACTGAAACAGCCTCATCCAATATCCAGCTTCAGCCTTTGCGAACCTTCCCTTATCCCCATCCTCTTCAGCAAAGACTGCTCCCAAAACACTCCAAATGTACCTGTAAAGGGGCACATGAACCACCTCAGTCTAGAAGCACAGGAAGTGGCCTCATCCTCTCTCATTCCACTCCCAAGAACCTTAGGACTAACCAATGAGAAAACCATCAGCCCAAAAGCCTAGGAAGGACAAGTCCCTGGACCTACCTTTCTTCAAGCCTGTGGTGTCTGCTGTGTGTCTGAGGAGTGCTGGAAGAGGCTCTGAGCAAGTGCTTCTTGGGTCTTCTGTCCAGATACCTTCACTTTACCCAACTCCACATCTCACTCAGCTTTAGATCTTCACTCTTCTTCTAAAAGTTTTTCTAAACCCCAAAGGCTGAGAATTTCTGAGTACAACTACTTCCTTTTTTATGTCAGAAATGCTAACTGGTTTTGTGTTCCTAATATGGGTGTGGATGTCTATTGTGCAATTTGCTGAGCAAGTAGTGGCTACCCATGTACACAGTGATTTATACAAAGTAACAGTGGCTATTACTGTGGATATCAGTGGTTGAGTATTTACTTTGTGCCAGACTCTGCTCAAAGATTTTTATGCACACAGAGTAATTTAATGGTATTTAGAATCCATCTGAAAAGCTCCTTTTTCACAATTTCACATATTTTCACATGCTTCTTCCTATATACCTAGAGAACTATGTTTCACCGTTTTATAAACAATTTAAATGCCCTATTTACATGAAATTATGCCAATGGAGATCCATTTTAAAGTTATACTTCAAGAGTCTCCATTTAATTATGAATGGTCATAGATAGAGCAGAAAGTTGGATGTCTTCCAATAATTAATACAACACCTTTCTAAATCAAGGTGGTAGCTGGTATCATGTAGAGAAGCTATCCTTTGACTAAGACAAAATCAATTCCAATCATTTATTGCATGACCTTGTTATTTCTCTGAGTTGAAGATTCCTCATTTGTAAAATGAAAATGACACTTACCTCACATGAAGGAGGAAACTAAAGTGGTGTATAGTCCTCATTCATTCAACATTTGCTTAGTAAACAATTACTACGGGCCGAGTAGTACGTTATATGATTCAGACAAAATGGTGAAAAAAGATAGACACACTCTCTGTCTCCAAAGACTTTACAGACAACTGAACAATACAAACAAGTAAACAGATAATTATGATACAGGACAATCAGTTTCTTGCAAGGTAAAGTAGAGTATCCTGAGAGAGCTCATAGTAGGATCAATTAACCTAAGAAATAGAGAGGCTTCCTAGAGAAGGGGATATCTAATGTGTGACATGAAGAATGAGCAAGATAGATAGACAAACAGAAAGAAAGTTGGGGGATGAATAGCTTTCCAGATAGAATCAACAAAATGAAGAAAATCCAAGGTGGAGAAACTGAAAAAGCTTCAGAACTACTGAAGAATAAAACAGGAGCAGAAGTTAAGAATAGTCAGATCATTCAAGGCCTTAAGTCATCTTTCTGATGTTTAAAATTTGTTCTATGAGTAATGTGAATTCATAAAAAGTCAGGTCATATGCTTTGCATATATGTCTACTTTGGTTTTCATAATGAACCAGTGAGGTAGAAACCATTTTGCCCATTTTCCAGAAGATGAAACTGAAGCTCAGAGATGTTAACACAGCCAGTTAAGGTGAGATTAAAATCCAATTTTGCTTAATTTGGGAAACTATGTTGTCCAAAATCCTCTGAGATTCTCATTCTCAAAATGAAAAAAAAAAATGTATTTAATAAATATTTCCTGGCTACCATATGGAGAAACAATTAGAAGAAACAATTCTGAAATCAGAGAGGTAGGCTCATGGAAGCAGCCATTCTCTAGGGAAGAGGTAATGATGGCCTAAACTATCACTACTGCTAATGAAGATGGAGAAAAGGAAATGGATGTGCAAGATGTTTAGGAAATAGAAATGACAATACTTGGTGATATAATGGATTTAGGATAAGAAGAAAGAATAAGATAACAAAAACATTCTGGTTTAGAGAACTGAATAAATGATATAAGGGCACTCACTAAGACAATGGGCATGGACAGTGACAGATTTGGGGGACAAATAGTAAAATTTTGAGCATGTTTATTCTTAATTGTGTTGGGACAATCCAGTGTTGACAGAAGTTGTATAACTAGCACAAGCCAGGAAGTGAGAACATGGATACAGAGGTAAAGTCTGATGATCATCACATACAGAGGGATGGGGCGACCGAAGAATTTGGGTGGAAGCACAAAAGACCAAAGTCTTTGAGAGAATTTAGGATTAAACCACTGTTACAAGAAGGAGGAGTTCTCAAGGGGAATCTGAAGAGACTAACGAAGGTAGCAGGAAACTCAGAAAAAGTGACATCACAGAAACCAAGTTTACAGAGAGTTTCATGACTCCAGAAGGAAGTTTGGATCAAGATGCTGGACTGAGTAGAATGGTCAATCTCCCCTCCCACTCTATATTCCACGAAATGACCAAAAGGTTAGGGATACCATTAACAAGTAAGTGATTTTGAGGAATTATGGAGAATATAAAACATGGGAAATGAGACTTGGTAGAGAAGCAAGAATAGAATCACCATAGCCCAAAGTAAGTATATCGGAAAACTAATATAGAAATTAGAGCAAATGCAGAAAGAGTCTAAGTTCAGTATCATAACATACAAGTAGTAGGGGAGTGGGATAGAGCCTGGAACAGCTGTTAAGGTAATTGATTATTAAAATTATGTTGGAAACAACTGCGTTGTCCCTTTCTCCGTCCCCAGGCATTACACAACAAGCCAAAAAGCATGAGAGCTGTTTTCCAAACAAAAAGAGAGTTTTGCTCCAGCGGAATACACAAACTGTGCTTGGGCTGAGTAAGAAGCAGGACAAAGCAAGAACTTACTTCAAACCTTCAAAATAAAAGGGGAAAAAGACAAAGAAAAAAGCAAGGAAGAAGGGAATTACAAAATTGATCCCTAAGTGAAAATCCCAAATTCGCCCCCTAGAGCCGAGATTCTGATAGAGACATGAACAGTACCTGGTCTGGAGAAGTAGAATGATTCCTCCTATCTAAAACACAATTGACCGGCACATGTGACTTGGCTCTGTGCCAATTCCTTTCTCACTATCACCGGATATGGGCACAAGTTAAAAAAAAAACAAACAAAAAACTGCCTTCGAGTTAATTCTGACTCAGCAATCCCATAGGACAGACTAGAAGTGGCTGATAGTGTTTACAAGGCTATAAATCTTTTCAGAAGCAGACTGTAATATCTTTCTCTTTCAGAGCTGCTGCTGTGTTAAAACAGTTAATATTTTGGTTAGCAGCTGAGGACTTTAACCACTGGGCCACAAAGGCTGCCTGGGCTCCAGTAAGCAGAGCCCATATTCACTGCCATGAGAAGATCAATTATCAAACGAAAGTGTGAATAGACAATAAACATTGGAGGAAACCAATACCACAAAGTAAAAAAAAATTAAATTCAACAAAGAAATGAGCAGAAAAAACAAGGTTTTCTATTTTTTTGAAACTGCTCTATATTCCCTTATCTCACCATTCTGGAATTACATTCAAATTATTGTGTATTTTTTATTATTATATCTCTCCCCGCAATTAGTTTGGCAGTTATATAATCTTTTACTGTTTGTTTACTTGTAACCTAATAAATTACAACATATATGCTTGATTTATCAAATTCCATTAAGAAGGAGCACTTTTACTTTCTCCAGGAAAGCCAATTGTAAGCAGTAGATTTAATCACAAATATATGAGTACCTATGTTGTTTCGCATACATCTGACGGTTTGTCGTACTGTGGTGGCTTGTGTGTTGCTGTGATGCCGGAAGCTATGCCACCGGTATTCAAATACTAGCAGGATCAGTTATGGTGGACGGGTTTCAGATGAGCTTTCAGACTAAGACAAACCTGAAGGTCTACTTCTGAAAAAAAATTAGCCAGTGAAAACCTTATGAATAGCAGTGGAACATTGTCTGATATAGTGCTGGAAGATAAGCCCCTCAGACTGGAACACACTCAGAAGACGTAGGTAGCTAGGGAAGAGCTACCTCCTCAAAGTACAGTCGATTTTAATGATGTGGATGGAGTTAAGCTTTCAGGGCCTTCAATTGCTAATGTGGCACGACTCAAAATGAGAAGAAACAGCTGCAAACATCCATTACTGAGAGGAATATGGAATGTACAAAGTTTGGATCTAGGAAAGTTGGAAGTCATCAAAAATGAAACAAGATGTATAAACATTGATATCCTAGACATTAGTGAGTTTTAAAATGGACTGGAATTGGCCATTTCAAATCAGACAATCCTATAGTCTACTATACCAGGAGTGACAAAATGAAGAGGAATGGTGTTGCATTCATCGTCAAAAAGAACATTTCAAGATCTATCCTGAAGTACAACAATGTCAGTAATAGGAAAATATTCATAAGCCTACAAAGACAATGAGTTAATACGGCTATTATTCAAATTTATGCACCAACCACCAAGGCCAAAGATGAAGAAATTGAGGATTTTTAACAACTTCTGCAGTCTGAAATTGATCAAACATTCAATAAAGAGGCATTGATAATTACTGGTGATTGGAATGGAAAAGTTGGAAACAAAGAAGAAGGATTGGTAGTTGGAAAACATGGCCTTGGTGATAAAAATTGCACCAGAGATCACATGATAGAATTGTACATGATGAACGAATTCATCATTGCAAATACCCTTTTTCAACAGCATGAACGGTGACTATAGAAGTGGACCTCCCAGATGGACTACACAGGAATCAAACTAATTATATCTGTGGAAAGAGACAATGGAGAACCTCAATATCATCAGTCAGAACAAGGCCAAGGGATGACTGGAATAGACCATCAATTGGTCATGCACCAAGTTCAGGTTGAAACTGAAGAAAATTAGAAGGAATTCCACGAGAGACAAAATATGACCTTGAACATATCCCACCTGAATTTAGAGACCATCTCAAGAATAGATTTGACAGGTTGAACACAAATGGCACTAAATTTGACACGTTGAACACCAATGACATTGTGGAATGACATCAAGGACATCATACATGAAGAAAGCAAGAGATCATTAAAAAGACAGGAAAGAAAGAAAGAAAAGATCAAAATGGGTATCAGAAAAGAGTTTGAAACTTGTTCTTGAAAGTCGGGTAGCTAAAGCAAATGGAAGAAATGACAAAGTAAAAAAGCTGAACAGACAATTTCAAACAGCAGCCCCAGAAGGCAAAGCAAAGTATTATAATGACATGTCCAAAGACCTGGAGTTAGCAAACCAAAAGGGAAGAACACTCTCAGCATTTCTCAAGCTGAAAAAACTGAAGAAAAAATTCAAGCCTCGAATTGCAATATTGAAGGTTTCTATGGGGAAAATATTAAACAACACAGA